TTTTCTCTGTTTGTCTCCCTCCCCGTGTGTGTGTGTGTGTGTGTATCTCGACCTAATTTGAGTTGTGAACTACAATCATTTTCGCGTCCCGTGCAGGTCATTCGGACCGGTCATCTCAGTTGCACACAAGTCAGTGCGGCATGCCTTTTATCATGTACAACTGTGAGCAGATTGAGGCGGTTACACATAATCGACGAGTTGTTTAAAACGATGACATCATCCGAACCGATTATTACAGAATTTTCTGACTCCTCCCGCATACATGTTGTGTCATGGTGGTTGGTCAATGAGAACCCCTCTGGAGATGAGTATTGTTTCCATATTAATCGTGTAATTCATTCGAAGTGGCATAACCGGATTGACATTGTTTGTTGACAGAACAACCCCTCTCAATGCTCTCATGTCTATTTATACCCGTTATTTTTTTCCCGTTGATTCATTTTTATACTCAACCGGTGAATTTCGTTTCCAATACAATAAGCTTCAATTTGTAAGGGGTCTTCTTTGTTTCGATTATTCTTCAGCATTATTTTGGGTGCGTAAACTACTTTCTGATTTCAGTCCCTGTAGGCCAAGAATAAATGGTCTGCGTCTTGGGCGTGTTAGCTTGGTATTCAGTTGGATTTTCAGAAGTTTGTTTCATCATTGTGCGTTTGAAATGTTTTGATTGTTCTAAATGTCCAAGCCTTAGCCTCACCAATTGTCGTCCATTCCTGACCATATAAAGCAGCCAACTCGCACCTTCTGATGCGCTTTCCACTGACGCTCGAGCCACCTAAGCCTTACCGCTAAACAAGTCCTCTTCAATGCCACATCCCGTCATTTGCCAGGTCTCGTCAAATCACGTCCGACAAATGGTTCATTATTTATTGGTGTGATCTTCATTTAGTGGGCAATCGGCTGCACCGAACACAGTTGTTTCAATCGCTACATGCACAACAACCTAGATTGTCATCTTGTTTTGTTTAAATGCGCTTTACAGATCTGGTGAAATGCGATTTCAAGTAGCGTATTGCATGAATATTTTCCCAATAGTGGGCTTAATCGGAATCGTAATACTCGAATTTCTGAGGTGCTATTCGTGTCACTTATCAGTGATTTTTGTGAGCATAAGTGAAACATTAAAATTCCGATAGACTATACCTTTCCCAATTTTCACATCTCCCTGTATGCACATATGATGTCCCAATATGGGTTTAAGATATCATCTTATCCATTTACTGTTCCAGGCTATTTTAGGTTCAGGCCAGCACAGTCTTTATTGATACTGTGACTTCTTGAGTTAGAGAACGAATAGGCTGTCTAATTTAAGGAATGCATTTGTTTCGTCCTCTCATGACATAAAATTTGGAATTGGTTCAGACACTGGTTACACCAATGCAGAGTGTTTTCACCTTATATAGATACATTTTATATACTGCCATTTTGTGCTGACATTCTCCCTAACGTCTTGGTAAATTTTGTAAAACGAACACAAAAAACTAGACGGGTGTTGCTTGCATGCAGTGCTTTGTGCTCCGAGAGATATTGTGTTTTACGCCGGTACTTTACTTTGACAACAACACCTCGTTTATCATATAAGTATATACGCATCTGAGTTTTCTTCGGATTACTTATCTCCTTCACATAACACTCATGTGTTTTGTTAAAGCCGATCAGCAAAGTTTGCTTAGCTGGATAAAGGTGTATATGAGTTAAGGAAAGCATACTACTGAGAAGCAGCGTGTATACGCATGAAAAGTTGATGCTCGGAAGATATGATCTCAAACACAACCAATTTTTATTTAAACTGAAACTGAACGGATACTCTTGATTGGAATTATGGACACCATTTTAAACGAAAGTTTCTTCTGTCTTGACCAATTGGTGCAATTAAGTATGCAGTAATTTTCAGTCTGCACCGTGCCCCCATTTAGAGCTTACCGTGCTGTGCTTTTCCAAGCCAATTCCTCAAGAACACCCATTTTATCTACCTGGAGTCAGAGGGCATTTAGCCGTCCTCTTAAGGGCAATGGGGAATGATATCTTACGACGCTTTCCATTTGGCCCTATTTCTCGCTCCACTTTCAGGTGAATGGACAGCTAGTTATTGAGGCTACGCACTCGGAGGCGCGTCGGTTACTCACATACCCAACCCCGCTTGTACAACTCACGGTTTACCGAGAGACTGTTGAAGCCAGTGCCCGACGCAATGCTCTTTCGCATACTCATGAAGGTAAGTTGTTCGTCGTTCTATCGGTTTGTATGATATGAAAATTCAGGAATTATATTCCTTATTTTTATTGGCTGGACAATTTGTTTTAAATTCAACAGTAAATCAAGTAAAACAAATATCGTTCTCAAACAGTGGTGATTAAAAAATTGTGTCGATAATTTTGCTCGCATGTTTTTTTATCGTTTATTGAACGCTGTACACTGGTACGTTGGTAATTACTAAGGAAAAGTAGGGTGTGTGCATCTTATTGCCATAGAGTTTACGCAACGCACACCATTGGTGTATTTCATCTTCGACCATCGGTCTTCCATTCCGGTAGTAAGCTTCAGATCCGGGACTATCCTCTACATGAACGAGTTAGATGTAAACCGTCCGCTCAGGACTACCAAATGTGAGTCTGGCACATCGATTATTCAAATTTCAGGCCTTAGCCTCGCAAAGAAGTTGAATTCTTGCGTGTTCCAGACTTCGTTTGGAACGCCTGTAGTTACCATTGGTACGACTACCTAATGTGTTGATCAAATTCAAATGACAAAGCTGTTGCTTATTGAATCCCGTAGAATCTGTACACACTAGGCTTGGTTGATAGTACAATTAAATAGCAAATTTTAACTTTCCCTCCGCCGGCGCTGAACATTTACGTGTTTTAGTTTTTTATCGAGCCATGACTTGAGAGAGCTAGGTGGAAGAGAGTTCCAAATACTAAAAAAATCTGAGACTGTAAGAGTGGTGCCTGCAATCTAGCCGAATCTTTTGGGGCAAAACGGGTGTCGCCTGAGGTGACCATTCTTGTATAATGCTAATAGAGTACTATCTAGGTGGTTAGGTTGATGTCTTGAGGCGTACAAATAGCATAATAATTATCTTCGAAATAACGAGAGACTATTAGAGATCGATTTTTCGACTATAAAATGGTTGAACTGATTTCCGGTTGGCTCGCTGGACATAGGGGATTTCGCAACCCTTCTTACTATTTTGAAACTTCCCAGGCGCACTACCCGAACGTGTTCGAACATAGCATTTTGGCTTTTGTGGTTGCTGCTACTCTCTCCGTAGTTCATCGAACGGTGATGAAATGAACAAACTTGCAAATTCAACTTATTTATTGATCGTTCAGCGGTAAAAACAACTCTCTGTTAGTCTCATTAATTGATAATAGAGAACAGAATGGATCAAGAATTAACTTTTTAAACCGTTTGTCAAATGGACATCCATTCGTCTCCAATCATGGACTGTCTCTACTACTGTAACTATGTGTATTTGATTCTCCGGTTTGTGTGCGTGTGCACAACGCACTTTGTTAAAGCACTCCAATCGCATTATCTCAAAATGTAAAATAGAGTCGGACATGCTTTGGGTGGTGTAAACGCCCCCCCCTCCCCTCCCCTCTCTTTATCTGTCCGCTACACCCTTATCATCAACTTCTTCCCTTTCTCGTTCAGCTATGCACGGGTAATCTTCAGTTTAGATGCTGGGCTATCGATCCGTATAAGCCACTCATGCATGTATGATTTTAGGAGATTTGACCATCAAATTTGTCATGTTTTTGTTCAAGTGAGAAGCTGAAGTGAGGAGACGTATTGATCACAGTCAGTTTCCTAACCCGGTTTGTATTATGTGGTGTACGAAAAAACTGAAACCGTTTGATAAGCGTCCTAATGACGAAGTAACTAGTACGTTTTTGTTTTCCCTCTGTGACTGTGGGTTTGAGCTGTGGCAGGTGATTGGTTCGTACTTTGGATACCACCTTATGAGGTGGAAATAACTGCACAGCTCTTGCTAGCTTTCTATTCCGTATTCCATTCCTTTCTACTCTGATATATTTCATTCTTGAATGAAGATTTGTTGACAAAAAGTTGAGCACTTTTCAACTCACGTCTCTAGTAATCCATTTTCATTTGAAATACAATGTTTGTACTTTTGATATTCCAATGCTGAATATCTGCCCCCTGAATTCGACGAATCAGAATTTCATGCTGAATTGTTCGTGTGTATCATTTAAGAATCCGAAATATGTGGATTCTGTCAACCAGATTTTCATGACACCTCACCATCTGCACGCATTCTTTATCGGTAGAATCTCTTATTAACTCGAAATGACAATTGAAATTTGGCATAAACTGGTATGTTAGTTAGATCCTTCTTCCCACTGTCTCTCTCTCTTTTTCATCAGTCTCTTTCTCTTTGACTAGCTTCTATGATGTTTAACATTTATGATTCAGACACTAGAAATTCCTCTTTGGTTTAACCGCAGTGTTGTGGTTTTCTGTCTTCGCTCATGATCTTCCAGTGTTCCCTCGTAGTTTTTCCTTTTTGTTGATTGGATTTCGGCCACCCTCAATCAGGGGTTTGCAACCGTCGCTTATAGGTTTTAGCTCGTTGGTGTATTCATTAACACAGGCACGCTCTCAAAACCTGGCTGTACTTCTACCCGACTGGAAAGGGGTATTTTGCAACCGACGGATTCCGCTTTTCACATCACGGACAGCGAAATTCCGTCGCTCATCCAAAACGTTTTTTTACCTGTTTATCCTTCTTTCGCAGTTGGCAGAGATCCCGTCGTTTTCAGACTGTCGCATAAAATACTCATTTGCTGTGAACTTAAAAATAACTTCCGATACGATTTACACTCCCGACATTCAAATGCCCAAGCACATTTGCGATAGGTTATTTACTTGTTTATCCCGGTGACTGTCCGGCAAATGGCGTCAAGCGTGACACTATTTCAGCAGCTATCTCTCTCGATCTCCTATTGAGAGATGTATTTCGCGAATCGAACAGCTGCAAACTACCGTAAAATCGTTCTATTTCATAGCCGTATGAAGTATTCCGAATATATTTGCTTAAGGAACTCTCGGGGGTGGGGTGGGGGAAGAGAGATAAACATGGTGATAAATGGAGGCTTTCATGAATGCGTGATCCAGTTTAAAAGCACATTTGTCAATCTATTTTTCTGTCTTTCCTTCGGAAGAATCAGCAAGGTATGTATGTGGCTATGCGTGCATTATACCAAGGGTGTATAATAATGCATTTTGCAACAATATATATATATATATATATATATTTGAAGGAACCTGAATATTTTCTATGAGGAGAGGTAACGTAATGTCCTTTGTTTGAATTTCCTGCGAGTACGACAGTCATTGATTACATCCATAGAACAACACCATGAACAGCAGTCTTCTTTTGTGACTTGGTTTATTGTTTTGTACAATGAATGGTATTAAGCACAAGAATTACAATGGTACACATGCGAAAGTCCAATGTGTTCAGCTCGGATTGGAAAATATCTAATTTGTATTCCCACATTCCGATAATGAATGGCTACATCTTAGCTGTAATACATGTTGTATATATTTCTAACAAGTCGTGACATAACTTTCTCCAAAATTTTTTCAAATATATCATTTTCATCGGAGATATTGTTATCTCTTTCTCACAGAATATGAAAAGTTTTTCCGCGCTGACTATTCAATCCTTCAAGTGTTGAAATAAGCACACTAGTCGGGCTAGAATTCTGATACATTCACTGTCCAACTTCTTGTCTGCAATTAAATCAAATATCCTCCCTCTAGCTCCGTTCACATAACAGTTGGTTTGATGGTAGGCGACAGGTGGAATGGATTGCTTTCCTACTGAGCTTAATTTGCAATTCGTGATGTGATCATTTTGATGCCATCGGATTACCTTTCCCTCTCTATTTATCTTCCAACTATAGAAGTTTTCCATGTGAAGCTATGCAAACGTCAGGGAAAAGTGTTGGGTATCAAACTTGTTGGAAAGAAGTGAGTTCTGTTTCCATGTGCATATGAATCCTCCGGACACTGTCTTTCTGCACATTGTTGTTGTTGTTGTTGTTGTTGTTGTCATCTTTGTTGTACATCCGTTCTGATCTCCCCCCTCGTTTACTCAAGTTTGTTGAGTGGAAATGGAGCTGTCAGTGTCGCTTTCAACGGATATTCCAGTCGAGGGTTTTCTTGTTTCGTACGTTATAATACCCAAGGGGGCATTATTGTAGCTGTAGGTAGAGCGTGGGTTTCAGACACAACCTACGTTTCACTTCGTCTGCGATTGATCTAACTCGATTCACCGTGCTTCGTTTGTCCATGAGTTTGTTTTCGTGCATGGCAAAAATTCACACCACTGTTCAAACATTTTCTGTGCGCATCTGTCATACGTTTGATTGGTTCTCGCTTCACGGAGCAGAATGATGTATGCATTAAAAATTGTGTGTGTGTGTACTTGTTTTCCCTGCTGATGAATGGTCGTTTTGTTGGAATAAGGATATCATGCCAAACAAACCGTGGTTCCCCGTTCGTTCATATCATCATTGCCTGTTTAACGGCTACTGGATGTCCGCTCTACTGATTACCGTTGATCCGCTGTGCATTACATTCTTCCATCCCATCGGATCTTATCGACGATTTGCGTGGAATCAGAAATGTGGTGTCCTTCAGCATTGTCTTCATCTAACCGGTGATTGTACACAGTGTGATTGGTTAGGCTTTCAGGGACGCTGTTAATTAAAAAAACGTTATTTTATTTGATGCACGTTAAACGGTTAAGAAAGTAGCCGACTGTATGGGGCTGTCTTCTCGGTTTCCTACCTCGCGTTAATGAAATTGTGACAGGAAACTCTGCCCACGAGTGGTGTTTGTCTGCCCATCTGATTGTTATCACGGTCGATCTGAATATGTTTCGTCGACTCGGAACATGAACAGGCGTCTCACGTGCAGAAACCAAGTGAAATTTCAGGTGCTTATGCAGAACAAAATTAGGTGGTACACAGATTCCATGGAACTGTTCGTGATAACCGACAAAGAGCGCTGGATAGCCGTTTCGTTCTATTTCCATCGCATTTAAATGCATTCAACTAGTGAGGAGTTAACGATCTTCCAAGGAGACAAACCCACACCCAAGACCATCAAGGATGCCTGGCGCCTCTGAACAATCTAATGGGCTAATCCAAGCTTGACACTCCGAAGAAGGGTTGTATATAAGTTTTTTATCGGTTGATCAATATCGCACACACTTTTATTCCGAATCCCTTTCGAACCGTTCTACTCGGTTACGACAGTAGGATGAACATTTTTTCTTATATCTTATATGACTTGTTGCCGGATTTAAGCGAGGAGAATCCGATTTCAAAACATTGGATGTCTTGGAAAAGGGGTAGAACTACATTGTCTCCATATTATTCATTTATCAAATTGGAAAGATTTGAAATGTCCTGAGACACAACATGAGCTCTGGTAACTTCACAGTTCTTTCTTTCTTGCCCCGTTATGCTTGGTAGTGTGCCCAGCTTTGATACTTTTTCACGATAATTTGATTGATGCAGCGTCTCAGATTAAACTCGAGGTATATGTATAGTTATACATATCTCCACGCTGCATCTCAGGGAACACTTTTCGAGTACATGAGGGTGCACGGTTAATGGTTGTGAAAAATCAAAATCAAAAATAAACCAGCTGTGCAAAACGAAGTGACGAAATGTCGAGACGCAGATTGATTACATTGGGACTACGTTTGCGGAATACAGACATGATAGATGATTTTATGGCATAGAAAAAAGCTCGAATTTTAGTTCTCTGTACATCAATGGCACTCGGATTTGCATTGAATGATTTACAAACAGACGATCAGTTGTGAGTGATGGTAATAAGAATTTATTAGGAAAGTTATTAGGAAAAAGATGTTGGCATTTTAGCTGAAAGCATGGGTAAGATTAATGGTTTGGGGCTCTAAATCATTAGCGAAGAGCAAAAGAGGCCGGAGGTTTTATGGATTGCTACCTAATGGACCATACCCACGAACTGCAATTGAAAGTTCACGTTAGAAGGTTTGTATCTAAAGGATGCGACACGGGGAGAATTCAGGCTTGAGAAGTTTCCCCATGTGCGCGTCACGCTAAACGGTATAGAACGCCTTTGAGATATCGAGGGAGACCCGATGTGACCCGTAAGCAAAAAGTCACCTGTGTAATTTTGGCAACAATGTCACATTGGCAGGCTTCATCATCGTCATCATTGTACAGCGTAATACAGTGAAGCGAACTTCACTGATCACTGCCAAACTCATATTGCATCCAAGGTAAGTGATAATGTGCAAGGAGGACAGGGATTGAACCTATTTTAGGAATGAGAAAAGAAAGCGAACCTCTATGGTCAACACGCAGAGTAAACAGTTCAACTGAGCATACCTACTATTTCAAGCCTTCTGGTCTGATAAGAAGTGACATCAAGCTCGCCATTCCTGTTGGTTCGCAGCCCTGGTCTTCAGTGTCTCCAACCATGCGGTTTCGGAGTCTTTTGGACCTCAACCCGGTAGACGAGAGACGCCTACTCTTTTCATTTCGCCTGTTCGCCGAGCTTGGCAATTTGTTTGCAAACGTTTCATCACCAGCCGAGGTGACATCACATGCACTGATGATGTCACCTCGGCTTTTGATGAAACGTTTGCAAACAAATTACCAAGCTCGGCGAACAGTCGAAATGGAATTCAGTTCACCCGAGCGACGAGAACCAATTTTCAATACTTTGTCAACAGAAATCTATTCTACCTAATCGCTGTCTGCATTTCTTTACGCCTCGTCTCTACGTCATCTGCTGGCCTCCACGTGGCTTTCCCTAGCCTGTAACAGCCACTGCAAACAAGGCGCGCTGCGGTAGGCGACCGTCGGACATACACAAAACGTGTCCTAACCAACGGAGCCTATTGAGCTGGATTGGATGCGATAGCGAGTTCTTGTTCGATGCACTCCCAAACACCCGGCGACTTACCTCCAACTTACTAACCCGATCACTCCATCCAACCTGGGCTAGACTACATGAGCATCGATTGGCGAACACTGCTAAACGACGGGTATCTTCTGTCCTCAAATTCAAATTCTCACAACCCTAAAGTAGACCTGATCGTACAGTGGTGCAG